TATAGTTATAGCGTAGTGCTTAAGGATAGGGTTGCTAATAACAATAGTAGCTCCCCTATATAGGTTGTCTATATCTACTATATAGGTAGTAAAGTCTAGTAGGCGCTTATTTCCGAGGTCGTCCTTTAGAACTGTAGGAATATAGTAGGCCCTATAGGTTAAGTGCCGAGCATTATTAAACTAAGCAAGAGTTAGTAGGTTAGCCCTATTTAATTATCGAAGATCTAATTGCTTAGCTAAGCGATAGCTAATAAGGGTACTAACTGAATTTCCTAGATCTAGTGTAACCTTAGTCTTATAGTTAGTTCTGTATGTGTCCTATATAAGGCAGGTACGTATAATAGCTAGTATAATGTCGATGGTTTTACGCCGTACGAGGCTAATAGTTAGTATAGCGCCTAATCTTTTTTCGACTAATTAGAAGGGCCGATAGGGGTAGCATTAGCGGCTAAAAGGTTTTTTCGGTGCTTAGAGGCAGTACGATTAACTCGGGCCTAGTCTCGAGGCCTATTATATTAGCCTAGTAAATAAGTAGTACTATTATAGTTAAAGCATTTCAATCCGGTTAGGAGGTTGCTATAGCTACTACTATTGTTAGTTAAGCAGTTAGTATTATAAGGATACGAGCCCCTTCTACGGCCCCTATTACGGCCTCCTCTATACAGCCGTCGGCTACGGCCTCTTCTACGGTTATTGTTACCGTTCCTATTATTAGCACTATTGTTTTAGTAGGAACCTTAGTTTCCTCCGCGGGTACTACGGTTGCCGCGGTTAGTACTAGCTAGTCGAATCCTCGATTCTAGTCGTTACTAGAGCTAAATAGCTCGTTTAGCTATTTCTACTTCGACTATAAATTAAATGCGTATTAGATTAGCCTATTTAAACACACGGCGGCGGTCCAATTTAAGGACTAATTCCTATCTCAATTTAGGGCGTATTTCGGAGATCTAGATAGAATTAGTCTTAGCCGGAAGGTTATCTTCGAGGGTCTTTAAATAGGCCTTAAATAAGCGAGCCGATTAATTAGTCTTTTGTTTAGCTCGAAGGTACTAGTCCTAAGCGTGTTGTTGCCTTAGTATAGGGTTTCTAAGGGTATCTAGTATAATGGTTTTATAGGTTTGCTACTAAATAGCGGTCTAATTATTAAGGGAGTTAAAATAGTTATCCTAGGTGCGCTTTAGGTCTCTATTAATGTACTATATAGCATAGACGACTAAGGAATAGTTATCTAGCAGCGCTCTCGGTACATTGCGCTAGTTAAGCTTATAGTTACGAATATAGTCGTTATATTGCTTTCGACTAGAGCTATTAAACACAGTACAATCCTTGAGTTTAGTATCCTTCTTTTGAATAGTTAGTAAGGAAGGCCCTACTACTAGTTTAGTATTAGTTATTAGGGCCTCCTAAAGGCGGCGAAGCTCGAGGAGGTTATCCTTTAGCTACTACTCTTAACGTAAAGTAGCGAGCCTGTTTTAGGTAGCTTCTTAAAGTCTCGCTACTAGCTAGGGGCTAAAGGCTAGTTAGCTATATCGACGGTTAACAATATTGCTAAGAATGTCGTTAACGGGCAACGATAGGTTATCCCCTTCGATTATAGGTTCTTTAGTAGGCCCTCTAGTAGGCTCTTTAGCGGGAACTATACTACTAGCGTTGTTATTGCTAGCACTGCTAGTAGCGCCGCGGTTGTTATTATTGTTTCGTAATAAGCCGGCTATTGTAATAAGGGGTAGTACTAATAATGTATCGTAGCCCCTTATAGTACGGATATAGCGGAATTAGTAGGTATCGGCCTAGTACGATTAACTTAGTATAATAGGCCGTATAGAAGGCCTTGCTTAATAATTAGTATGGTTGTTTTAGTAGAATAGTACGTATAGGTCCCGTTCTTCGGGCGTAATATAGTTAAATCGATAGTTTTCGTAGCTATACCGCTAAAAGCTTAAAATAAGGACTATCTAGCTGCTACTCTTAAAGGGTAGATCGAATACTATATAAGAAGGGTTATATTAGCAGGTAGATAGGGTAGTAGTAGATATAGTAGTATTCGATAGAGATCTAGGAGGAGAAGGAGGAAGGCAGGCTAGTTAGCCTAACGCTAAGCGCTAAGCCCTACCTAAGGTACTAAGACCCTAGCTTTACTCGAGCTAGTTATATACTAATTACGTGTAGCCTCTAACAGGATTCTCCCTCTATTTCTTTAGATTCTCCCTTATCTAGGAGATCGATATCGTTATCGTTGTTATCCGAGTCTATAATAGGCCGTAGAGTAGGTAGTTCCTCTTCGGATAGTTACGTAGTAGGCTACTTCCCTTAGTCGATTCGTCGAATTTAACGCTAGTATAGATCCCGATAGCGTTTGTCTTAGGATTATAGATCCTATACTGTTTCGTAGACTTCGTATATCCGACGAAGATTCCTAGAAATACCGTCTTTTCTAGCTTATCTTTCCTTTTCTCCTTAGGAATAAACAGATAGGCTAGATAGCCGAATACCCGTAAATGTTCTCCGCTAGGCTTTCTTCCGGTATAGAGCTCCTCGGGAGTTATATCCTTTCCTTTAATAGGTAGCCTATTATGTGAATAGGTAACCGTATAGGCCGCTTCGCCCTAAAATTGTTTAGGTAATCCGGATCCTTCTAAAGCCGCCCGTACCTTAGTTATAATAGTACGGCTTTGTCTCTCTACTACCCCGTTTTATTCTAGAGTATAGGGCGTCGTTGTTTCGATTCGTAGTCCCGGATAGGCCTTAAGAGCTTTAATAAGCTCCGGAGCGTTATCGATTCTTACGGCCTTTAGTTTCCTCCCGGTTTCGAGTTCGGCCTCGTTTTTCTAAGCCTTAAAGGCTTCGTATACGTCGCTTCGGTAGCGAGTAAGACGGATATCTAACCGTCTCGTAGCGTCGTCCGTAATCGTTAGTATATACCTATTTCCCCCTAAGGTACTATACTTATACGAACCCTAAAAATCGATATATACCCTATCTAGGCAATAGTCTGCCTTTTCGGGTTCTTCTCGACTTGATCGTCTATCGGACTTCGTAGTAATATAAGTCTCGTAAGATATTGTAAAAAGCGACGCCGCTCCTAACCCTAAGTTAGAAGTAGCTTATATAACTTTGTCGTATAATACTCCCTCTACTTCTTTGCTTTAGGGAAGTAAAGAAGTCCTCTCGACTTAGGTATCCTTATCCCGCTACTAGCGTAGTATACTCCTACTCGCGGTATAATAGAAGTGCTAGTAACCTTTCTTAAACGGGCTTAGTTCTATTCTTTTAGTTTTACGCTATAACTACTACGCTATATCGCCGTCGGCGATCTCTCGGAAGCGTAAAGCCGGGCTTATAACTGTTATAAAAACCGACGCCGCTCCTAACCCTAAGTTAGAAGTAGCTTATATAACTTTGTCGTATAATATAAGACTTATTTAACGTCGAAAGCTCCGGGACTCCTAGTAGTACTTTATATACGTTTCGTTGTTTTTCGTCTCCTAGATATCCTAGGCGTCGATACTAAAGTAGCGTAGTACCTTTAGTCGTAGTAGTAGCTACTCTCGAAGTCTCGATAGATCCGGATTCCTTTAGAATATAGGACCTTCCGACGCGTACTCCTTTTGCTAGTTCTTCGTTTTCTCTTCGAAGTATAGCCTCTTCTTTAGTAAATAGAGTCGTAATACCTCGTTTCGAGAGTTAGCTTATCGAAAGCAGGTTATAACCGATCTCGGGTACGTATATAACGTCCGGAATCGTAGTCGGAATTCCCTTAAACTAGACGAGGATTATACCGGATCCCGCGATCTTTATTGTTTTGCCGTTCGCTAGAGTAACTTTTCCGGTTATTTCCTTATAGTCCGTAAAGTAGTTCTTGTCGTTAGATATATGTCTAGTGCATCCGGAGTCTAGGATCTAATCCCCTTTATTAGATAGTCGAGTCGTAGAATCGATAGCTATCTAAGCCGCGATCTTAGATTCCTCCTTATTATTTTCTTGGATTTTTCCGTTCTTTTAGTCCTATTTGTATTTCCTATAGTCCCGTTTAAAGTGCCTAATCTTTTGGCAATAGTAACACGTCTTTCCTTTAGCCTTATTAGGCGTATTTTACGTATTGCCTTTCTTTCTGTTACCGGCCTTATCTTTCGCCGATTCCTTAGTATATCGGGCTACTACTTTATCGCCTTTAGAAGTAGTAATAGTATATTCAACGTCCCGTAGTCGTTGAACTAGTTCTTCGTAGGAAAGAGTAGATAAACCGGCCGCCTTTAAGGCGAATATAGTAGACGAATACTCTTCTTCTAACGACGATATAAGGACTACTTTCTTAGAGGCGTCCGAAGGAACTTCGTCTTTATCCGCGGCCTTAATCTCGGATTAGATTTGCGTAAGAGCTAAAGCCGTAGTATCGATATCCTTAAGAGCTTTAAAGGAATAGAAATAGGAGAGTAGCGTCGAAACCCGTTCCTTTATCGATACTTCGCTTACTTCCTTTATTTTATCGATTACCTCCCTAGTCGTACGTAGTCCTAGGAGGTATATAGGCTTATCCCCGGCCGTAGACTTAATAAACGCAACTACTTTTACGTCTTCTTTTTTAGCCTCTCTTACTTTAGCCGAATCTTAGCTTATAGCTTCCGGTATACCGTTCCTATACTTCTAAAGGCCTTATCCGGATAAATAGTCTTAAATTAGATCGATCTAGATAGTATAGTTCTCGGTACTAAGTTACGGAATTCCCTTTACCGTACCGATAGGCGTCTTAGTAGTAGATATCTTTATTGTTAGATTTTTCGACTCGTACTAGTTATATCGTTATTATTTTTAGATCGTTTGGTTCGTATTAGTCGGTTCTTTTCGCCTATAGACCGGCGTCTATAGCGGAGTAATAACCGTTATCTTATTGTTGTTCGAAGTTAGTCGCTTTCTTCGATTTGCGGAGTAACGTCGGATAAGGTTTAACCTTACGCAAGCGGATTGCCTGATCGGGTAATTTCTCGAACTTTCTTGTTTCTTCACTTGCGTTCCGGGCTCATAACTGTTGTAAAAAGCGACGCCGCTCCTAACCCCAAGTTAGAAGTAGCTTATATAACTTTGTCGTACAACACTTGTTACAGCAACTATAGATGTCGAAGATTCCAAACTTCAGGCATAAATCGCTTCCACGATCAACGTTTCTACCCGAAGTACCTCACCGGGGAAGAAGATAGGCTTGTACGACAAGCCAAGGCGAGTATACAGTAGCGTGACATGGGCGTGTCGCTTCCGATTGCCATTGCCGCTATTGTAATACAATTCTGGGCGAGAGCCGCGCGCAACTGCGACACGAAGTTGTGCCACGAAGACGGAGGCGGAGGCAGGGTTAGAGGACGCGCCTTGTGGCAGATGCGCCGGTAAGGCACAGCTCGTTCGTCGCACCAAATCACCTCGCGTACATACGGGCATACCTAGCGTGCATACAGTATACTACGGACGTGGAGCGCGAGAACATTGCTCATGCGGGCAGTCAATGGCGCACATGAGGCTTGGGCAGCTGAGTGGCAGTACCACAGGTACTACAGTAAGCACCGGTAAGGCTGAATGATTCGAGATCCTTTGCCCCACGGCCTCGGGAGGAATTCAGCTCCTTGCGCGTTCGTGGCGTTCGTGGCGTCCCTACATCTGGCAGATCACAGCTCGGCACTGGCTGGAACGGGCCACCCTCGTTTACCCGTTGGCCGCTCGTAGCCTCGTACGCAAACAGCCCTGCTCGTCGCCGCCTCAACACAGGGCATCGGGTTTGACCACGTTAGCGCCGATGGCTGACATGTAGTCAAGTTGAAAGCAACTTCACTATAGTGTTTCACGTCAGTATAGATGCCCCTCTCGTAAAGCGGCGGGGTACAACCTGCTTGAGGATTGATGATATGATGTATAAGAAAAGCGCTTGCTGTCCCATGATATTGTCCTGGCGGTGTCTCCTGGCGGCACCGAATAAGCAGGAAACACCACATCAGCCTCTGTTCCTCCATCCCTTGCTTTCCCTTTGCAACAGATCAGACTCAAATAGTCTCCTGGCGGCCATCACAACATCACTCACAACACCCTCACCCACAACGCCATTGCCATTGCCGCCACCAAACCATGCCTCATTCCAGCGCTCCCTACCAGCCGTACGCCGAAAGATACGTCGATGGGCCTGCATCTGGTCCAACGGCCGCAGACATTGTGAAAGATCTTGGCCTCGAGGGCAAGCTGCAAGACAAGGTCATCTTCATCACTGGAGCATCGGCCGGTCTCGGTCAAGAAACCGCTCGCGTTCTTCACACCACCGGCGCAAAGCTCTACCTCACAGGTCGTGACCTCGCCAAAGGCCAGGCAGTGGCGGATGCACTCGTCGCAAGCAACCCCAGCGGCCAAAAGCCCGTCTTGATCGGCTTGGAGTTGGACAACCTCGAGAGCGTCAGGAAAGCAGCCAAGGAGTTCCTCGATCAGGAGAAACGCCTTGATATCCTCGTGCTGAATGCTGGTATTATGGCAGTCCCCGAGGGCCGCACCGTCGATGGCTTCGAGACTCAGCTTGGCACCAACTACTTTGGCCACTTCTTGCTCTTCCACTTGATCAAGTCCACCTTACTTGCCGCCGCTACTCCACAGTCTCCCAGCCGTGTCATCACACTCTCCAGTGCAGGTCACAAGGCCGGAGGCGTCTTCTTCGATGACCTCGACTTGAAAAGGCAAGGCTACAACCCCATGGTCGCTTACGCCCAAAGCAAGACCGCCACTATCCACTTGGCGAACTCCATCGATCGTCACTACAGCGCATCCGGAATTCGTGCTGTTTCCGTGCACCCAGGCATGATCTTCGAGACATCACTCGGCCGCCACATGTCGCAGGAAGAGATTGCTGGATTCGCTCCCATGGCACCTTTCGCGAGACCTCTTGCGCAGGGCGCAGCGACCACTGTCTGGGCGGCGCTCGATCCTCACTTCAACAAGCAAGGTGGTGTGTACCTCGCCGATGCTGGTGTCTCAAGCGCCGCTACCGCAGATGAGCACTTTGCTGGACCTGGATATGCTCCTCATGCCTTTGATAAGACGGCCGAGGAGAAGTTGTGGAAGCTCAGCTTTGGTGCCGTCGGTTTGTCGGAGGATGGTAACTAGATGCCTTGTTCCGATGTTCTTGTCCCAGGGTTCGCAAGAAGGAGGCTCACACTGCTAGCTGTCCTTTGTTGGAGGGTTCAAGGGGGGTGTCTGCTGCCTAGCGCCATGACCTTTACCCACATGAGCTACCGCAGAGTGCATCAGCGCTCTCTTCTGAGCACTCATCTGATGGTTTCTCTTTTCGAAATCATACTGTATGCAGACTATCTAGCTTATGACAAAGCCTGGCCATGCCCAGGCTATCTCTACTTCGGGTTTCTCTATGCTCTCGATCTCCTGCTAGTCTTTGCAATCTTGCTCGCCGTCCCGACTCAGAAGAGTCGCAGAAAAAGTATGCTAGGGTTTGGTGCCAGAATATTTCTTTCGATCAGGCCGCATCTAAGCTTCGTCCTAGAGATGCCATTTACCGGGCCATCTTTGATGACTGTTTCTTGATAATTAACCCCACACCTGAGACTTTCCGTAGAGTCTGGAATGCTCTCAACGGCCGCACTACGACGCAGGCTGCCGATATATAGGTCGTGTTGGCGAGCTGTTTTGGCTTCAAACATCCTCAGTTTCGCAAACTCGATGCTTCTGCAAAGATGGAGCGAATCGTGCTCAGTTCTGACATCCTGCCACTGCGGCTGTTCTTCAACACTGGGTCAAGGTTACGACCAACAGAACATCATTACAACAGATGGGTGCCAACGGAGTTGGGTGACTATATCGAGAACGGCGCAAGCATGGTTCTATTCGCTGACTTCGACGAGGGTCAACAGAGAGACTGGAAGGTTCCATTGTTTCTTGAGGGAGACATTGAGGTCATCTATGTGGACCATCCTGTGCCAAAAGTGCAGGAATATACCCTACTTGACGGAGGATATACATTTCATGTTCTCTGCTTTGTCGATGAGTCGGATGAATTTGCCTTCGAGCAGGATGGCGACAAATGTATTAGTACCTGTTTTTTCTTCGAGGAGAGACCGGATGATCTCAGCCCGGTCTCTCGCGGTGCTTGTCTCTACGTGACCCCTGGTCAACCATTCGTTGAGGATGTGGAATGTCTGTCCAGACTTGAAATGATCTACTATTGCCTTGTTCTACTCACCAAATCTGTGTCAGATCCTCGACGAGGTGGAGATGTCGCATTTGCAGGACGGTGCTTGAAGCACACAGTGGAAAACGCTTGTGCAGGCGAGGAGGATTTCAATGGGGCACATCTATTCGAAATGAAGTGCAGTAAGTCTCTATCACCGCGTTAATGCTATGGGGAGCACTTTGCTGATGTTTGCCACATAGCGCCGATCCCTGAGAACGAGGAACTTGACAGACAGCCATCCGGCCTAGAATTCTCGGAGAGCAGACAGAAAACGGCTATCAAAGTTCTCGCAGTTGTACCTCTCCTCTCGATTGTTGCCATCAGCCTCGTTGCAGTGGTATTCATGTTATACGAAGCTATCCTACAAAGCGAAACCTCGAATTTCCGAAAGGTGGTATACTATGCTTTTCCGGAAGGTTGAGAATGCCAAGACTCCTGGTTTTTTAAGCCTTATAGAACTCTAAGATTAGACTTCCTTAGGCCTGTTGTGGTTACTATTATACCGCTTATTAATCCAGCCTCTTTAATATGTATTATTACGCCTTATTGCCGCTAGAGGTTGCTATTCTTATCGCTATATTAATAGCAACTAATTTGTAGCGCCTATATCTCGAATACTCGGTAGCTATAGAGCGCGCGTCTCGATCGCGGAAACAGGCCTCGAAGGACCTTCTAGCGTATAAGGAAGCGGTTAAGCGGCGCGAGTCGCCTACTAAGAAGGATAAGAAGAAGGCGGTTAAGAAGAAGGCGGTCGAGAAGAAGGCGGTCGAGAAGAAGGCGGTCGAGAAGAAGGCGGTCGAGAAGAAGGCGGTCGGCGGCGGCGGTAGCGGTAGCGGTAGAAAGAAGAAGACGGCGTAGTAGGAGAAGTTTAGTAATATGCCGGCCTTCGAGGCAGCGACGTATAAGGACTTCTAGGTTAATAATGCCGCTACTACTATAGTAGAAGATAACAATATAGCGGTTAAGGCTAGCGAGTTAACGCGTTTAGCTAATGCCTCGCCGGCGCGGCGCCTAGTTAATAGTTAGTAGATAAACGAGGAAGATATATCTACGCTGTCTTATAACCCTCGTAAGGACCTTTAGTATAAGCAAACCTAGCGCCTTCTTACTAGCAATAATAAGCTAGCTTTTAAGAACTATAACCGTACTAGTACTAGCACTTAATACGCTAAAGATACGTACTATTAGGCTAACGAAGAAGCGTAGAAGAAGCAGCTCTACGTCGGTAACTATATATTAGTCGTATCCGCCGCGAAGGTGTCGAAGGGTAACTAGTTTAAGCAGAGTTAGAAGAAAGGTAAGGTAACGATATTCTTGCTATTGCTGTCGCTCTTACCTAACGGCTTCTTCCGCTTAACCTATACTAATTCCTTCTATAGTAAAAGATTATAATAAGGCTCTCGACTACGCTATAGAATTAATAAATAATGCTCGAGATAAGATTAAGGTTAATATCGAGTTCAAGACTGCTATAAAAGATGCCGGAACTAGAGCTATCCTTAAGGTTAGCAAATTGAAGCCGAATAATTAATAGAATATCGATAGCCTTGCCTTTATTGCTAAGGAGCGGAAAGAAGGCAACTACACTACTAAGCTTCTTGCTAACTATATATATACCCTTCCTAGCTGCGAGAACTATAGTAACTACTATTATAGGCCTAAAGGATTGCTAGATATCGATCGCTACTATTACTAGTTCTATAGTAAGGCTACAAAGCTGTAGTCTTATACCCTTGCTACAAAGCAAGAAGGTATAACTCTCAAGAAGCCGCTATATAGTGTATTCGCGAAGATGTAGCTATATAAGGAGAAACAGCAGGCTCGTAAACTAAACAGTCTACTTACCGCCGCGAAGGAGCCCTTCTAAGTACAGACACTAGCAAGGGCTCGCTCTACGCCTATATATCTAGCTCCGCCGCTAGCTGTTGATTATATTAGTCTTCTATAGACTATATTCAATTTAGTTAACTAGAAGCTAGGTACCGCCGCCGCCGCCGCTACCGCCGTGCTAGTTAAAGACGCTTAGTCGTAAGAGTCGCCTGTTCCAAGATACGTTGCTTAGCAATTGAATACACCGCTAAGAAGCCTACTAAGACAGTTCTTTTAATAGGCCGCTCTTTAGCACGAATAGAAGGAAGCTAAGGATAAAGAACAGCTCTTAAAGATAGAAGCACACTTTGTAACTAAACGATATAACTGCGATTAGTTATATCAACTTCCTATAAGAGATTGGAAGGAGCTTAGCTTCTATAAAGGCGACTTAGGTACGTTACGTAACTGCTTAAAGCGCTTCTAGAAGGAGAAACTATCCGAGAGAGAGTAAGATAATAACGATATTCGTAACGGAGCGACGGCTGTTTCTATTTGTTCAGTTTAGTTAGGCGTTTATATACAAACTACGAATCTAAGGGCTTGCTATTTGCTCCGTTGTATATATCTCTATTACTATCGTTGCTTCGAGAGTGCTTTCCGGCTTTATTCTCGGAGTTGAAAGCGGAGGTAATATATAAAGCTTAGCAGTACCTACAATCCTATTATTAATTTTGCTATACTAACACTATACTAGCTATATATATAAAAATCATAACGGAGCTTTATATCCATCTTATCTTAGTATCCTATAAATACTAAGATATATAATCAAGGTTATAGTAGTTAGATTTGAAGCGACTAGAAATTCCGAGTAAGCTAGCTTTCCGCTTTAATCTCCGCTTTAGCTTTAGCTTTATTAAAGCCGTTTACGTTATATCTACTATGCTTAAACAACCCTGTTATATCTATCTTTCTAATATAGTCTAGCGCCTATATAAGGAACTCTTAGAAGGTCTCGAAGTCGGCTATAAGGTCTCTATTCTTCTTAAGCTATTTCTTAAGTAGCGCGAAGGTCTGTTCGATAGGATTTAAGTTAGGAGAGTATAGCGGTAAGTACTCGAGCGTATATCCAGCTAACCGGATTATCGACTTAACCTTATCGCTATAGTAGATTAACGCGTTATCTATTATAATAATTATCTTCTCGTCTAGAAGCGGTAGTACTTTATTCTTAATCTAGTCGTTAAAGGTAACTTAATTAATAGCGCCTTAGACACAGAGCGTATACGGTAAATAGCTATAGATTGTAAGCGCTAGAAGTACTAACATTCGCTCTTGCCGTTGCGTATACTAATAGTCGTAGCAATCTATACCCTTCGGAGACTATCTAAACTTGCGGTGTCTAGTCTTCTTATTAGAAGCCGTCTTATCGATAAATACTAACTTATCGACAGGCTATTTCTAACTCCTAGTATACTAGGCGGCTCTTGCTAGCGTACTACGCTCCTTCGCGATCTTCCGAGCGGCCTTGCGTATCTATCTAGTACTATATAAATAGCGCTATACTATTAACGGATCTACCTCGATATCGAAGCGATCGAATAGTACGATATATATCTCCTCGAGGTATGCCTCCGGTCGCTTCGACAAGTACTTAAGCAGATAGATTTCTATCTCCTTCGTTATCTTCCTTTTACGACTCGATTTAAACCGCTTCGATAGTAAGAACACCTTACTAAATTGATTATAATAGAACTTCTAACGATATACAGTCGACTAGCTCGTACCTGTCTTTAATACGATATTAACCACCTTATAACCGGCGTTAAAATAGTACTTAGCGAGTCGCGTAGTATCGGTAGGTAGGGCCGTAGGGAGGGCGCGTACGGCGTAGAAGAGCTAGAACAATACTAATAACAATACCTTAGACTGTATATTCAACGGCTATACTAACAACATATATTTTCTCGTGTTTAGGGCTATATAGCTAAAGAATGGGACAAAATAGTCGATTTACTAGCAAAATCTTAGTAGGGTTTCCCAGGTCTTGGCATTCTCAACCTTCCGGAAAAGGATAGTATCAACTGGTTCTACGACTACCTCCTCTGGCCTTTAATTGGACTCTTCTTCAGTGGCTTTTCTCTCGACCATTCGATTATAGGTGGTCTCTTCATTCTCCTCGGCCGAAAATTATTCGCCGTTTTATCGATCGGGATTACTGTATTCTTGTACATAGTGCTTGCTGGATTCGCTACCACACGACTTCATGACTATATCTTTTTGTACCAGTCGTACGATGACAGGTCCGTTGCCGATAGAGTTCGCATCTTATTTAGAAACAGTTCCTCACGCCTCAGATATGCCTGGACAGACATCAGTGGGAGACTTCGACGGGTATGCAACAGTTTGCCAGCAGGCTTCTAGGAACAGAGTCTCGCTCTTGGCAGCTCAAGGGAAAATTATCAAGTAGACGAAGCAGAGCAACAAGGAAGCACCAGCAGGGAAGAAGAGATACGCAGAGAAGAAGAGGCGGAGGCTGAAAGAGCAGAGCAGGCCAGGCAAGCTCGACAAGCAGCGCGCGAACGCCTGCGAAACGCAGCTAAAAGAGGCAAGGAATTTGGCCAGAAGAGCTGGGTCTTCGTGCAAGAAAGAGTCGTTCCTGTTGCCATCTGGCCTTTCGTGGCTATGGTCAAAGGCGTTGATGCGCTGAACCAGTGGCAGAATGAATACAGTGCTCGCAGGAGGTTGCGAAGACGTGAAGTTGGGCCTGTTCATCTCGATTAGTACTTCGTAGCGGATCATATAACATGTACAGTGCTGGCTGGTAGATTGAAATCGGCTGAACGTTCCCACATCTTTATGCGGCTCTCATTTGCATGGCAAGCAAAGTGGAATGATAGTTGGCTATCAGCAATACACGCCATCCTCAATCTGAGTATGCGCGACTATGTTCGTAAAGGCTCTCATGCGTGCTCACATCTAGGCCGATGGCTTTGCGATTCACGGAGATGCGTGAATTCACGGATCGGACAGGCTAGGATTGCGCATCTCCCTTAGTGATGCTGTTGGCCCCTCACGACCATGTGAGGCCACGTCAATGCCATTGTTGCTCTTCATAGCATCGTTCTGTGAGGTTTAGTTTAGTGTCCCGCTCGGCCTCGTATTTCCATTCTCGGAACTTAGTGTATACCTCGCTCCTATAGCGAGTAAGGCGGATACTGGACCGTCTAGTAGCCTCGTCGGTTATCGTTAATACATAGCGGTTTCCGCCTAGGGTCTCGTATTTATATAGGCCCTAAAAGTCGATCTATACCCTCTCTAAGGGTTCCTTAGATTGTTCTAGCTCTTCTATACTTTGTACTTTAGTACTCTTAGCCGTAATATAGGTAGAGTAGTTTAGTCTACTTACTGTCTTCGGTATTCCTTCTAAGGCTTTATCTAGCCTAGAGGTCTTAGATTCTCTAGAATGTCCTAGGCGCCGATACTATAGTAGACTAGTACTATCCGTAGTACTATCTACTACTCGTATAGACCGTTTTTCCTTTAGGATATAGGTCTTTCCTTATTTAATTACCTTAGCGAGTATATTATTATTTCGCTTTAGAATCGCTACTTCTTTATTAAAGAGAGTAGTAATCCCTCGCTCCGCGAGTTAGCTTATAGAGAGTAGGTTATTGTTACGGAGTGGTTACTTAGACCTAGGTTGGGGCCTAAGGCATCAAGTCTTAGCGAGGATACTTCCTCGCACGCTTCCTTCTACCTCTAGATAGAACCGTACGACAACTCGTTTATCTCCTATACCTTACTATCTCGTAACATTTTGTCGTACTACCCGTTAAGTCTATTATAGAAAGGTTTTAGGGCTATCGGAGAAGCGCCGGTGCGGCATACTTAGTTAGGAAGAGATAGGAAATTTTTACTACCCTTCGAGCAACGCGAGAAGCGCGTATATGCATCCACTAGTTAGACGACTAACTATTAGCAGAGTCGATACAATTAGGAATAGACGATAGATTATTACTAGGATCGGCGTATTACGAGCCGTT